GACTAGATGCTCTTCTTAGGGAAGTCTGCTGCCTCGCTCAGGCCTGGGTTAAAGATGTGACGAGCAAACTTCCTACCCTGGTACAGCCCTTGGGTTATCATCCTTTATTGCTTTTTCATGTAGGCAGCGGCGAAGTTGCAATATGAAGTCCACGGGCGATCAAAAGAGACTTCAGGACCTTGGGACGACTGATTAAGGGATCAGGAGCACAAGTTGTTTTTCCCTCTATCCTTCCAGTTGCAGGGAATGATGAGGGAAGAAACAAGAACCCTTGCTGATCAATACCTGGCTCCATGACTGGTGTCACTGGCAGAATTTTGGGGTTTTTGATCACGGGTTGGTCTACACGACATCAGGCCTGCTAGCAACAGATGGGGTACGGCTTTCTGAAAAGGATCTTTGCACAGGAGTTAGCAGGGCTCATAGAAAGAGGTTTAAACTAGATTTGAAGGGGGAAAAGGATAAAACCAGGCTCGCTATTGATAAGCCATGGGGCAGCATGCTAATGTTTGAGGGTCGGTGTGCTAGCAAGGTCCTTCAGTCTGCTTGACGATGTGCTGACTATACTGGCGCATATTTTAGATGTCTCTATACTAATGCGCGCAGCACCTTAACCACCTCAGTGGGGGTAGGGGATGGAGATCCATGCGGCAGCAAAGACACAGGGGTTGTTGATACATTAGAAACCACAGAAGCACCTGAGAACAGTCACATTGGAAGTAGGGCTTCTCCCCACAAAAAGGTGGCAGGATCAATAGCCCAACTGAAGTGCATCTACACCAATGCACGCAACATGGGCAACAAACAGGAGGAGTTGGAAGCCATTGTGCAACTGGAAAACTATGATGTAATTACAATCACGGAACCATGGAGGGATGACTCACACAACTGGAGTGCTGGAATGGATGGCTATAAACTCTTCAGAAGGGATAGGCAAGGAAGGAAAGGTGGACGTGGTTTAGTGGTGGACTTGGTAGTGGTGGTTAACAGCAGGACTCCATGATCTTAAGGGTCTTCTCCAACCTTAAATGAGTCTATGATTCCATGAATTTGACTCTAATGAGAAGATGTGCCAATCTGGCCCAAAAACATAGACTGGAGTACTCAGAGCCCTTTTTTATATCCAGTTTCACACCTCTGTGTGCTAAATTTCCTTTTTATATCCTTCTTACGCTATCGCTTTGGGCAGGTGAGGACAATATGAAGACTCCAGTTTTGATGGGCCCTAGACTGAGCTTTGAAGACTTCCACAGCTGTATTATACCTCTGCTCCCCTCAGCTCTTGTTGATGTCCCTTCCTTTACGGCAGTACCAGACAGGATTCAGGTGCCAGTCCTGGCTTGGCCAGCCGTACTGGGGGGCTGCAGGTGCATCACAGTGGCCTTCAGAGCATGGGTGGAAAAGCCTGTGCCCACCAGGATCCAGATGCAGAGCTGCAGGCATTTGAGGTGGAAGCTGTCATGTGGGACATGCCTGTCCATGTGCCTGAAGAACTGCACCTCTACCACAGCACAGCTCTTCGGCCACCTCATGCTGCTGTTAACACCGACCTCTGCCTTCTTGATAGTGCCTTGCCACACTATAAACATCAGCTGAATGGAGAGGGATCTCTTGAAGGCGTTGGTCAGCCTGAGCTTGCAGAAGCGGGTGGGGGGCAGCACTATTAGTTGGCAATTGGACGACTGACCAGCAGGCACAAGAGGAGGAGGCTTTCCATTCCCAGCCATGCCTGGCAGAGCCCTGGCAGCCAGATGGGCTCTCACATTGCATCCCACAGAGTAGCACTGCTACCTCCCAAGACGTGCCAGTGCTGGCTTCTCCCACACGGCTTTCCACCTGCAAAAGCACTGCAGCTAAAACAAAGTGGGCAAACCCATTGCTTTGGGTTGCCTCAGTCTCAGGGCCAGGTCTTCAGGGGCCCCTGTACTGGCTAATACTGCCCCAGGGGATGCAACCTCTGCATCCTGGAAAGCTGTGAACCCCTGCGGTCCAAGGGAGTTGGACTCCAGCTGCCACTACTATGTAGTGAGGGATTTGTATCCAGCTCCACATACAAAGAAGGGAGTGCTGTTCAGGGAAACCTCCTTTCCCATCTGAGCCGGACACACCACAGAGCAACAAGCAATGTGCAGAGTTGTAGAGGGTGGCGAGTTATTCTCATTGCCCCAGTGCAGGAGGACAGATAGGCGGGGGAGTCTTAGTTACAGAATCAGTGAAACCAGAGCCCACTGTCTCAGCTCTCCTGCAAAAGGCTCCCTGACTTTGTGGCAGCTGAGCAGTCAGCATCCTATGCCTGTCTTCCCCGACAGAGTGATGGACAGACACTCACGGACGCAGCGTTTGTTTGTTAAACAAGTGATTTATTGACATCTTTACACAGGGTAGATCTCCTGGAGGGAATGAACTCTCTCTAAGTAGGGGGTGCGGAAGCTGCCCAGGTGGTAGCAGCAGTCTCTGTCACAAGGCTCCTTGCAACGGCCTCTTCAGCTGCATCGGGTCCCACTGCCCAGAGTGTGCTTTCGCTGTGGAGGAAAGGTGTGGCAGCAATTCCCACTGCCGACGGAGCAACATCTTCTCCATATCCTGTGTGCTCAGTTTGGTGGTACCAGCTCCCCTGGGAGCGTCTGGGATGGACAAATTCTCCACATGGACCCCAGGGAACACACAGAGGCACGTCGGTGGTGCCTCTCGCTTGGTCCCTGCACAGCAGGGAGCTGCCAGCAAGAATTTCTGGGCCCGTGTGAAATCACTGTCCTGGCCGCCCCAGCACAAGGGGAAAGCAGGGTGAAACTCATCTTTGTCGCCACTGTAGTCATCACCGGCTGCTGTGCGCTGGGAAGCCTGTCCAGAGGAGAACAGTGCTGCTCTTGGCAGAGGGCTGCTGCAGAGGGTTTGCACTTTCCTCTCCTCGTCCCGCATTGTCCCCTCTTTTTCCCTGCAGTAGGAGGTCATTCTCTGCGGTCAGCTGTGAGCCCCGCAAACACAGCTCTGTGCATGAAGACCTGTTTCAGCGGCCAAAGATCAGCAGTCTTGTGACCAGATCTCGCAGCTCCATGAACTCACGCAGTGCCTTGGCGTGGGCAGCTGGGTCCTGCGCCAGGTGCTGGAAGAGGTTGAGCGGTTTGGCCGTTTTGAAGGCTAGGGGCAAGATTATCTCCTCGGGCACGTTCTCATTGCCAAAGAAGAAGTGGTTGAGGCGTTTCTGCTCCAGGCAGCAGCGCAGGTACCGCATGATGTCCAGCATCCGCAGCAGGAAATCCCTCCTGCCCCAGTGTGACAGGGATATGGCGGTCAGAAGGTGCATCACAGCTGTCTTCACGGTATAGGTGGAAAAGCCTGTGCACACCAGGATGCGGGTGCAGAGCTGCAGGCATTTGAGGTGGAAGCTGTCGTGTGGGGCATGCCTGGCCACATGCCTGAAGAAATTCACCTCTGCCACAGCGTAGCTCTCTGGCCACATCGTGCTTGGGGTGAAGATGGTCTCTCTAGTCTGGCTGCTCACGAAGATGTCCGAGTTGCCTTGCCGCACCCCAAACATCACCTCAATGCAGAGGCTTCCGTTGTTGCCTTTTGTCACCTGGAATTTGCAGGAGCGGCTGGAGGGCAGCACCATTAGACGGTATTTGTATGACTGATGCAAAACCTACCAGGCATCTTTCACCAAGTTTTGGAACCAGAGGGCAGTTTTCTGCACATCTAGGTAGGAGCTGGTGCAGAGGGTGCTTAGGAGGCTGGAGTTCTGATTTCTCCTCAGCTCCTCCTCGGGGTGGTGGAGGAAGCACAGCATCTCTCCTGCCAGCTGCTCGTTCAGGCAGGTGCACACCAGTTCCACATGGATGCAGAAGTTCCTCGCTGGCATCTCCCCTGTGGTGTCCAGCTCCAGGTGGAAGACGTGCCCACGGGGGGGCGTTCAGGGGCACAAGCAGGCGGTAGATGATGTCTTCCTCATGGGGACTCCAACCTTCAAAGGCACTGCCCACCCCAATGGCTGGTTGCAGCACTGGGAAGAAACTGTTTAACAAGAGCTCTCTGAAGGCAAGGATGAAGTGATCCACCAAGAACTTCACCTCCTGGCATTCTGTGGCCAAGTTCTGAACTGGTCTCTGTATGTGCTCCTCAAAAAGCCTCCCCAGGCCATTTACATCATCA